CGCTAATCTAATTGCACAGCAGTAAATCAATCAATAGGAAATTAACCAAAACATGAACAATCAACAATAATAAATTACCCCTTCATATTATTTATGGATCCCCATAAACCCTAGAATTAAACTACTCACACATAATTAAATCTCCACTAATCAAAGCAATAAAGCAAGACCTAATTAAATCAAAGCAATTAAATTACTGAAAGTAAAGAGGGAAGAAATCGTTACCAAAATTAAAGGAAATAATGAATTGCATAAATCAGGGAGTGTAGAGAGAATAAAAGTATCAAGAACGAGTTTAAACAAAATCTGGAATTAAATCTAGGGAGAAAAGACGTAATCGCCAATGTGTAAAAAACGTCCAACAATCTTTGGCAACAAAAAGTATTTATACTAAACTAATAATCCTAAATAGAGAAAAAGATAAAATAAATAAAAATCCTAATAAAAACACGCGCCCTGTCGGGCGCGCCTTTGGGCGAAGCCTTGCCTGATCGGGCGAGCTCCCGGGCAAAGGATTATATCATCTCTTTTGGGCTAGTTTTCTTGGCCCAATAAGATTTCATCCTTGGGTCTTGAATTACAGTCCAATGCCCGAGCTCTTCTTTTCTTCACCGAGCCCTTAATCACCGGGTTGATTTCTCTAACACGGCCCTGGACTCCGGAATATGATCATAGTAATGCGTTTCGCTCCAATGCTCGCGTTGGCTCAACTAAGTACGGGGAAAATGCTCCAAATCTGCAGTTTCCTGTAAAATAATACCACAACTACGAAAACACTAGAAAACGTATATTAGTAATAAAAATGGCTCTAAAGAGCCAAAAATACTCCTAATTATGACCAAGGGACGGGGATAAAATACTACATAAAATGAACATATCACCAATATAAAGACAAGGCCAAACAAACATACAACGCACGATCAGCAATGCTGAGTACATAAGCATAAACAGTACACACTAACATGCTTTAATCCTATCAACATACAACATACCTTATTGCACCTGTTTCAAGCACACAACACAACCAATAAATAAATAGACTAATAAATTGCTTATTTAATTTGATTACGCATCGAACGGGTTTCCCACCAAAATTCCTACCCCAAATGAATTGAGGTAAACTACACCGGGAGCTAACCGGGTAGGCGAATATCACATGAAATGACTGGACGTCCTAGGCATAATAATAATAAGAAGGAAAATATAGCGTCCTATACTCCCAGTAGAAGTCATTGTTAAATATAAAATCCCATAACTCCCCCCATATATTCATACTCAAGGTATATACGTTCCAAGAGTTTGGTGCGTAATCTCTTTCACTTTACGTTGTTTACATATTTTTAGACTTGGTGACGACTCTTAAACCATAACGCAATCAATCACAATAAATCATTCAAGCAATCAAACACACCAATTTAATTCTTGAATAATTAGTGACAACATAATTTAATGTTGAACCCTTTATAAACTATCTATGTGTTAAATAACATCTTAAGTGCATAAGGCGCCGCAAACCTATCCCTCGATGTTTAGAACACCTTAAGTGTACGTAGGCACTGCAATGTAATGTGTACTAAGACACTTAATAGCTCAATTCTCTTGCTCAAAACATCAATAAAAATTATATGAACTACAATAAAATTCCCTTTTTATATTCCAAACCAAATTAAACATTTAGTTTAATTAAACATGCTCTCAATCATGCCAATAATAAAAGTGTATTTCATATTCAACATTCCAATATAATTAATTCCAACCATTAATTAATTCATCATAAGTAATTCATATTTCACAAATCAATCACCAACATCAATCCAATCAATAATTCCAACCAATACCTATCATGATGCTACCATAGAATTAATTAAACAAAGCCTAGCATGCTTCTATACACTTAAATAATTACCAAGTACGCAAACGTACCTTGAATATGATCTTAAAATCGCCACGACTACACAAAATTACTCACTTGGAAATCTCCAACAACCCAAAATTACAAAGGGACATTAATACCTATTCAATATAAATTTTCAGTAATATAAACACTCTTTAAACCACTCGTAAACCCTCTAAAACAAGTTGAAAATTAATTAAAAACCCTTACTTTTATTCCTAATTATTGGGGTAATAAAAAATCCCTTCAAGAAACATAATTATAACCTTTATATAAAAATTCCAGCTTTATAAAAACATGTAAAATTGTTGTACATTTTTAAAAACATCTAATTTAATAGTTTCAATCACCTACAATCAATTTTCATCAATATACATTAATTTAAAAACCTAGGGTTTTCAATTTGGGGTATTTTAATTCAAAAACCAAATCTGAAAATTATATACATAATAATTATAATCTAACATCATAAAAATCATCACACAACCCAAAAATAATAATTAAATTAAAGCTAGAATAATTAAAAAAAACACACACGCACAACAAGGGGGAGAAGGGAGGGTGGCTGGCGCCACCTCCCATGGCTGCTGACAGCCCTGTGCTGGCGGCGACAACCGACTGTGGTGGTGGTGGCAGCCGCCCACCGTGGTGTGTGAAAATTAAAAAGGGGAGGAGGAAAAATTAAAGGAGAGAGAAGATAAAAGGAAAGAGAGATTTTACCTTTGGGTATTCTCCACCTTGAGCAAGAACTAACTTGCTCATAAAATGGGTATTTATACCCTCTCTCTAAAACTCTCCTAAGCTTAAATTCCTTTCTACCTTTAATGATCCCTTCTCCTATTCAAACTAGTCCTTTGACTTTCCTTAAATACCATTGACTTTAAATTTCCTTTTATAAAATAATATGCCCTAAAGTTTCTAAATAATAAAATAAAATATTTCTAAAACAATTAAATAAATAAAAATGGACCTTTAATTAAAATAATTCTTTTTAAATTAATAAAATACCATAAATAATTCATTTCAAAATTTTTAAACACTTCATAAAATAATGATTTAAATTAAAATACGTATAAAAATACGGGGTATTACAGTGTGCCAGTGCTACTACTAGCCGCCGGTAGTCATCGATGGTCGGTGGTGGCGCCGGTGACTGCCGGATGTGAGGGGAAGAGAAGAGAGAGAGACGTGGGAAAGAGGAGAAAAAAAAGAGGAAAAAGGAGAAAGAAAATAAGAGGAAAAACTTTTGGGGTTTTTGTGAAATCTGAAAATATGATTTTTAGAGTGTAAAATTCTTGGGGTTTTAAGGTATTTATATCCCCCTTTTTAAAACAAAAACACTTATTTACCAAAACTGTTATTACTAATCCTACTTCCCCTTAACTTTTCCCTTGAGGCCAACTTGTTGGGCTCTTAAGTGTTCTTTAATTCCCAACAAGTTGATCCAACAATTTAAATAATGTTGACCCAATTCAAAACACTTTTATTGCCTCAATTAATGACTTATATTATTTTATACATACTTATTTGATATTTAAATAATTAATTCTGTAAAATGAAATGAATCATTTTTAATTTATAAATAAATTGAATAAAACAAATAAAATAAATAATTTATACATATAAAAATATTATAAAATACGGAGTATTACAACCCTAGAAATCAGTATGAAGCTTAAAACAACGAATAATAAAACCCTAGAAATCAGTATGAAGAGTTTCATTAATAGTGTGTTTGGATAAAGAAATGGGAAAGAAAAGAAGGGGAGGGAGGTGAAGGGGAGGGAATTGATAGAGAGATTAATTTCTTACAAGTTAATCCTTCCATTTCTCTCCCCTTCAATTCCTTTCCTTCCTCATTTGTTATCTAAATGAAAGATAATCAATCCCTCCATTTTCCTTCCCTTCTTTTCCCTCCATTTGCTTCAATCCAAACAAAGTGTAAAAGCGAATTGAGAGGGTGAGAAGGAAACCAAGAGAAGCTTTTCAGAGGATATGACGAAATCTAAGAAAGAGAGTAAGAAGAGAGAGAAAGCCAAATGAGTGATGGTGAGGGAAAACGGGAAAGCAAGAACAACAAAAGGTAATGGATGGCATGACCGTAAGTAACATCCCAAGCCGAGGGCAAAAACGTCTGTGCACTGGCCTACTATCCATAAGCAGATTGACTGTTCATAGTGAACAGTGGCGGTGCTTTAACTCTTTTAAAGATTGTATATCCCCAGGCCATATTTCGTATGTTAAAGGGTGATACCCCCTCTAAATCTCTATATATTCATATAATTCGCAAGTGCAAGGCTCTCATCTTTTAAAGGGGTTGGGAAATTGCTATTAATCATTGCTATAGAGAGGCTAATCGCCCGACCGATTGGTTAGCTAACTACGGAGTGGGTGCGAAGCAAAAATTGATTCTTTTTGAGGCAATCCCGAAGGATTTTCGTGCTTTTTATAAGAAAGGTGCGTTAGAAGGCTGTGGTTTGAGGAGCTCGCCATCTGCTTGCTTGGGATTTTTTTTTTGGTTTCCCCTCTAGTTCACAAAAAAAAAAGGCGAACCCACAAACTCATAGTCATTTATTTCGGTTTGAATAATAAGTTTTATCAAGTCTACGATTAAGAGCGAAGAAATTGACAAGATTTATGTCAAAACGAGGAAAAAAATTACAAGTAAGAGACTTAGGAGCAGCCTAGAAGAGACGTCAAGTTAAATGCCAAATAATTGAAAATAAAACAGGCCGAATATTTTTTTTTTTTTTTTGGAAAAGTAAAATACAGAAAAATTAGGAACGTCTTCTCGCAAGACTGTAACCTAATTTATCGAAAAGTAAAAAATAAGAAAATTTGCTATCCATGTAGGGGTCGATATCTTGATAGGTCGGGTAGAATAGCCTAAAGAGGCAATATAATCTGCTGCTAAAACAAGCCGAATCTATATAATAATTGTAGAGACACTTTTCCAACTTTTAACCACATCACTTCAAACTCTTAATCCTCAATTTCTGAACAAATTCAATAACTCCCATAATCATATTTACAAAATAAATTAATAATACCATAGTAATAAAATAACATTTTTTTTTTGACGAGAATAAAATTACATTGACATATACGATTAATATATTCTGTGCTTAGCACGGGTTCGCTCTAGAATACGAATTGGGTAGTTGATTCCCTGAGCAAAGGTCTCTCTTTCTCTGCAAAATTCGACAGCATGTAGCCTCCTTCGCCCCTCTTCACCCTCTTCTTACTCACGCAAGCAGTTATTTTCCCATATTTTCTCTCTCCTCTTTTTCACCGACTACCTGAATTGCCGGTCAACATCACCACTTCTTCTTCTCGAGGTTTTTAAGAATCTAATTCTATTTTTGGTTTTGTGATTGATTTTTTTTTTTTTTTTTTTTTATGAAAATTATTTTGCAATGTATCTTGTTGTGAATTTAATTTGAGTGATTATGATTTGCGGATTTGAAATTTTAGGATTGTGAAATTGTTTCTGAATTTATTTGTTGGCAATTTGAATTTTATTTTTAATTGGTAAATGATCAGTAAGTTTGCTCGAATAAAAAAAAAAAAGCATTAATCTAGGAACACCAGAACAAAATAGGTGATTACTTTTGTAATAAGATCGTTGCAGTCGCTTTCATCGGCGTTGTCGTATTTTGCTTTGCACTCACGGCTTATGCAGGCTATGATAGTCAAGATACCGGATATCCTTTAACAAACAGGCAGTAGACTAGTAAGTATTGCATAAAAGACTAGTGTTCCTTTGTGTATTGTGTACATAGTCTTAGAAAAACATGGATTATATAGGCGACGTTAAACAAGATATCAGATATCCTCTAACAAACAGAGGAACTAGACAAGCAAGTATTGCATAAAAGACTAGTGTTCCTTTGTGTACATAGTCTTAGAAAGACATGGATTATAAACAAGATACCAGATATCCTTTAACAAACAGGCACTAGACAAGCAAGTATTTCTTTATGTAGTCTTAGAGAAACACGTATGGAGTAACATAAAGCTTACCAGTTGGAGAGGTATTTCTATCAAACATACTAGCTAGTCACTAGCCACCTGCAACTTAGAACTACTGCTTTATGTTCATTGAAGGATTGCATCATTGCCATCTTAGAAGGATTAATTGAATCTGACCACAAGAAGAGCCTATAGTAGGTTTATAAACTAAAGATAAATACTTAAATGAAGTGAAGCCTAGGAATTGAAATGCTTATAGAATGTGTCTCACTAAAGCATGATGGTTCTTCACTTTGCTTTGAATCAAACCACATGCTCCACTATTTGTTCGACCTCTTTCAATTTCTGTGAGTTATTGTACTTTTGTTGTTGAGAACTTCCCTAGTATTTTTCAAGTTTCTTTCCAAGACGTTGGCTCGTTTTGGTTGTAAGTAAATGGAAATAATACCTTTTGCTCCGTTTGGTAACCGTTTATATACAATGGTAATGGGAATGAATTTATATGTAATATAAAATCCAGGTTCAAACCCATAATCACTCAACATAACCCCCAAATTGATTATTTTTCTTCATAATTTTCATTCCTATCTAATACCACCTGTCAAGAGTTAATGGAAAAGCATGAAGAGAACACATGCTTGTGGGATGAGATCGTGTTCCCATAGATATTATAGGTTGTTTTCCATAGTAAATTACACTTAAATTTCATTCCCATTATTGCAAATTATTACCGGCTATTAAACTTGGGCAGCCGTGGCTTTCCCAAATTGTTTTAATATGGTGCATACAAAGATTGGGCTTACTAGAAATTCTCTTTTTTTTTTTTTTTATTATCCTCTTTCTGAGGACACATTGTCCTTTTGTGCACTATGAGGAGTTTTAATGACATATTTTTTCTTTTTGAATAAAATAGGATGATCCGAAAATGTCAAATGTGTAGCTTTTAGTGTCTCACAACTAAGATGAAAATTGGCATTAGGTTTTCACTTGTATTAGCTAAACATTTTTGCACGAAGTTTATACCCAAAGCAAAGAACAACAAAGAATATAGGATCACCTTGTCTCTAGCCTTATTTCACAATGACATGTTTTGTTGGATATCCCTTAACTCCTTTCTCATCATGTCTATCTTAATCATACTTATAGGGGATGTGTGTTTTTAGTTAGAGGCAAGCAAGATATTTGCCTTCGAGGAACAAAGCTAGATTGGCAACATCACTCCTCACCTATTACTTTTCGCAATCTAGCAGTTAAGATCTTATAAATCATCTTGTAAATTAGAGAGCAATAAACAATACAAGTAGTTTCTAATTTTAATTTTTAGTGCTAAATGAGTTAAGTATACAAGTGCATTGATTTTTATGTGTCATTAAATGACTGAATTAGGTTTAAAAAATTGAATGGTTGCCTTAATTTCATCAGCGATGGATTAGTTGATCACTTTCAAAATAATATTTTGGTCACTTAAATGGAGAGAGTTTCTTTGGATTAATGATGACGATATCATGAACCTCAGTTTAAACAAAAACATGTGAAGAATAGTTTGATTTATATTTAATTATTTAAGCATTTTCATCATCTTTCCTTAGGAGCAAATTGTTAATTTGTAGTTTATTTATTAATTTTATTTTTAAAAGTTTATTTTAGTACTGCATTTCAAAATTTCTGGATGTGTCTCTAAGGAAAAGAGTACTTTTTGTGGTGATTAATTTTGCAGGAATGAAATAAGTGTAAAAACAGTGATGGGGAGAGAGGGATACGTAGTTCCTGTGGACCCTCAGATGGGTTTAAGTGTGGGTCTAAAGAAGAAACCTGCTGGATCACGCAGTTGGATTTTGATTGACTATCCTGGTCAGGCTACCGTTCTTGATCTTGACAAGTATGCTATTATGCACCGTGTTCAAATTCATGCTCGCGATCTTCGTATATTGGATCCTCTTCTCTCTTACCCTTCTACTATTTTAGGTCGTGAGAAAGCTATTGTTTTGAATTTGGAGGTTCTTTTCTTACTTTAAATCTCGAGAAATTATTTCAAATTTTCTTTCCTGCTTTTTTCTCTTTGTCTCTGTGTGTCTTTTGCTGATTGGTATATTTATTTGGTGTTTTGGCTGCTCAGCATATCAAGGCAATCATAACTGCTGATGAGGTACTGCCAATATTTAACATCTCTTTTTATTTTGTTTTGGGATTTGGCTCTTATCTTTTCTTATGCTGTCCTGTAAATTGCTTTACATTTTGTAATATGTATTAGTTAGTTGGGTGTGTTTATTTATGGAACTGTGATGGGGAGCCAAGTTAAAATCCGAGGATTAACAAATGCACTATTTTGTTGCATTGTGCTCTTATAATGATCAATTACATGTAGTATATGGCTTCTCTGATGTAGTTTTCATCAAGAAGATATCTGTAAGGTTTGTACTCTAATTAATGTATTGGCTTATTTTATTTTTCGCTTGTGTGATTAGCTTGTTTGTCAAGTTTTATTACAATTATGGGCTTGGGATCCTTGCTTTTGTATTGACTTGGACTCTAATTAGGTTACTTATGGTGTTTCTCATTTATTCTAATCTGCCTTTAAAGCCACATTAGATATGTATTCTGTATGGGGTGTTTTGCTGACCCAGGACACTGTAATTGAAATAGTTTCAAACAAGTAAAAGTGCTAGTTTCAAGTTTATATAGACGACGAATAACAAACAGTACTATAGTCTTATAAATGCTCATATATGATTCTGTGTACATTGATGCCTCAAATTATTTCTCATTTTCTTAATGTTTTAGCTTAAAATCTAGTCTTTGTGAAATAGTGAGACCTCAAGTTCCCAAGGACGTGGTTTGTTACTTTGTTTTTATACTTATAGGTATTGCTTCGAGACCCTTTGGAAGAAAATGTAATCCCTGTTGTTCAAGAACTTCAGAGGCGCTTATCCCCAGGAAGTGCTGCACATAAAGTTCACGGAGATGGGAAGGAATCAGGAGGACATGATGTTGAAGCTACTGAAGAAGATGGTAAATTACATTCACTCTCAAAATCTCGAAGGTATTTTCATCCTTGAATATCATCCACGAAGGTGGGAATTGTGGGTTTTGGCCTTGTGATATCAAACCAACAACCACCACCACAACAACAAAGCCTTAGTCCCAAAATGCTGAAGTTGTGATGTTAAACCAATTGATATTATTTTCATTTTATTTTTCTTTTTTTTAAATGTTATTTTAGCCTCTATATATTCCCTATTTCATTTTTCAACTGTTATATCTGAACTCTTTTTTAGCTGATTATATCCGTCAAATTTGTAGAATCTCCCTTTGAATTCCGTGCACTTGAGGTGGCCTTGGACTCAATATGTAGCTTTCTTGCTGCACGTACTACTGATCTGGAAACTGCTGCTTATCCAGCATTGGATGAACTGACGTCTAAGGTGAGTGTGCCACCCTAATGGGCTTTTTGACAAATGTTTAGGGTCTCATGTCCTTTGAAAAATGTAACTATGTTGGATTGGGTGTTAGGTCTACTCTTAGGTATTATGCTTGTGAGATATTTGGATGTCTAATGTGGATCCTAACCCTTGAGTCAAGATTTTAGAAATATCACAATCTGGAAATAAAGATCCGATTTTGAGTACTTTCTTGAAGAATTATAGTAAGTGAACCGGATATGACAAGTGCACTCGCCACTTGACCACTTCCTGCTCGAATGCCTTGACTACTCAAATTACTTAGACCACCTCCTAAGGCTTAGTGATTTGATAACCTTAACTCTACTGAATTGATTATTAAGAGCACGAAAGAGCAAAGCGCATATCTTAAGCAAAAAAAGTTTTATCAATCTGAAGTTATCGTCTTGTATTACAGCATTATGCCTTATTTATAGGCTTGAAATAAACCTACATATGCTAGGTTTAGCTTTCCTAAGTTAGTTAGGACAAGTCCCTAACTCAATAGCTATGAAACCGCCATTAGGAAACCTTGATTCTCGAGCAACACAGATCCTTAGCAAGTAACAACTAGCACACGGTTTTGCATGTTTTAGGAGACTAAAACTTTCTTAAATTACATCAAACTCTAAATAAAGGAAACTAAGGCTAAAAACATGTAAATAACTTTAGCCAGTCCAAGTAATCCAAGTGGATTCCAAAACCTTGGGGCTAAAACTAGAAAGCTAGTAAAGATAGAATAGGAATAAATCTATTCAAAAAAAAATAAAAAAATAGGGAGTAAATTCCCACCTAGGTAGAACCTAGGGTTTAGCTTCGGCTCCTTCAAGTTGACTTGCTGTCCTTGTGAGTCTTGTCACCAAGCTTGCCTTTTGTCAACATCAAAGCCCATAAGGTTGAGTAATAGAGTGATAGGCTAAAGAAGTACCCTTTGCATATGGATATTACCAAAGAATTACCCTTTGCATTCACATTAATGTCCTTTTTATGAAAAATAATATTGCTTTCCATAATCCATATTGGGCATGTTGGTTAGAAAATAATCACTTTTTCTCTCTTGTTTTGGCTTCATTAGTAATGATGTCTAATCTGTGAAATGTAAATTTTAGCCTTAAGTTCTATTAAGTGTCCTGATTTTGTTGTAGAACTTTCTTAATTGCTTACATGTGGCTTGATCCTATTAATTCGATGGTTACATTTTTTTTGTGTGTTAAATTAAAATTTTAGCTTTATATGAGGAACTACCAATTTAAAAGTCATCTCTCTTTCAAAATTGTAAACCTTTCTATTTATTCCTAATTGGTTTAATATTTCACGCAAAATGTCTCCTTTAATGTCCTAAAATATTTTGCATTATCTGTTGCTCCATTTTATTATAGTTCACATGTGTATGATATTTTCTCTTTATTTCCCTTCTACTTAGCAATACCATTGTTGAAGTTACATCCTTTTCCTTGTTCTTAATACTACTAAAAATATAATATAAGCAAAATTTACAACCCACTCATAAGTCTAAAGCACCTGAAATAGTCTGATTTCTGTAATTACTTGTGCTTATCTGCAGATAAGCAGCCGGAACTTGGACAGGGTAAGGAAATTGAAGAGTGCAATGACAAGATTGACTGCTCGTGTTCAAAAGGTACTACTTACTCATCTTTTGTTAATCCAACTGTTTAATCAGCTAATTCCCTACATCTTTTGAACTTTTGAAGATCCCCTTTAAAGGTGGAGTTGAAAGGTTTTACTCTTAGATATAATTTCTTGTGTTTGGCTGTATTAAACTGATTTACTTGAAATATAAGGCTATTTGTGCTATATGGTTTCCCTTTTTATTTATTGATGATGGAGTTTTGAATTGTGTTTTACAATAATGATTTGCCAATCTAGCCTTTCCTTTTTCTTTATCTCCATTTCCTTATTTTTTATTTTTTATTTTTTTGGGGGAGGGGGGATGGTAAGGGATTGGGAGAGTTATGGGTTGGGCATTCAACACCATTATCCAAGTTTGCCCTAACTTCAAATTTGCATGTGACAACGTCAAGTTAGATATTCTCATGATACTAGCATTTTGGCTGGTTATGTACCCATGGTATTATTACTTCTTGTGCTTATATAATGCACCCTCCTACAGATGTTTGCCATGTCTATTCTGGGCTGTCCCCAAATAATTGTCCTATCATTTCAAAGGGAAAGTCTAACCCACGTAACTATCAACTCATGTGATGTGGGCTCTATGAGCCTCTATTACTAATTCTTTGTCTCTCCTTCATTTATTTAAAATTTCATATCATCTCATCCCCATTGACACCATACTCGAGTCTTTAAAATTTTTGGGAGGAGTAAATCAAAGGGAAGGAAAGGAGATGGTGGAGTTTATATAGCTCCTATAGTGTCATTACCACCAAATATCCCCACGCATAGCATTGAGTTCGTAGAACCATATCATTTGGATAATTGGATGTCTACTAAACACTCCACACTCATGGCATACGGCCAAAGCCGTTTCTTTTGTGAAGAAACCATATCCAATTTTGGCATATGGGTGAAGGTGAAACGTCTAGCTAAGAATTTTGGATGCGAAAATATCATTAAACTCCATGCCTAAACATACGAACACCTCACCTTGAAGTTTCTTTCATTTTTCTGAGAAGAGGTGGTGGAAGGCACATCTGACAATGAAAGCATCAGCCTCCACTTCTATTTGTTGACTAATGGTTATCCGTATGACAAGAAAAGATGGTGGGACTTTCTTTTTACAAATATTGTTTCCATCATTCAAGCTTAAGAACTAGAATTTTTGTTATTTATTTACCTAGAATAACTTAGTAAATAGTCTGTATGTCTTCTTATTGTTGTAAGTTCAAGTCATTTGATTTTTTTTAGGTGAGAGATGAGCTTGAACAACTTTTGGATGATGATGGTGATATGGCTGATCTTTACCTGTCCAGAAAATTGGCTGTTCCTGCTTCACCTGTTAGTGGATCAGGAGCCAACTGGTTTCCCAGTTCCCCTACTGTTATCTCTAAGATATCGAGAGCAAGCAGAGCAAGTGTGGTCACAGGTCGTGGTGATGAGGATGATATTGAGGAACTCGAGATGTTGCTAGAGGTTATTATAACAATCTTTATTAGGTTTTATTTATTTATTTATTTATATTTTTTGGAAGAGATGACTTACTTTCTAATGTTGTGTCCTTGCTTTATATTATCTTCTCTTTTAAAAACTTGTTTGAGCCTGCAATTTCTTGCACAAAGTGCAAGATAATGTTCAAGCCATTGGATAGTGTGAATAATTAACTGTAATCTTCATTTGCTCTGGATGTGAATTACAGGCTTACTTCATGCAAATTGACGGGACATTAAATAAATTAACAACGGTATGTGTTGTGAAGAACTATTGATCTTAATATGCAATCCTGTAGTTAATCTGCTTGCATCTATGTGAATACATGTTTATCTGAAATGTGGTGAACCTGCATATTGTTAGAGACAGGGATATCTGACCTAGCCCATGTAATTGTATTTTGTATCTATTCATTTTTAATTTATTTTTTAAAAATTTTGTAGTCTACTGTAACATGTTGAGCAGCTGTGGTGATGATTGGTTCAAAATAGTGGAGATTGGGGAAGAGAGTAAGATTTTTTATGAGTTAATAAAATAATAAGTAGTCAAGAATCCCAAGGGATATAGCTAAAAATGAGTATATGGGAAGATAAGGCATCATATCAAGCTGTATATCAATGGACTCAATTTCTCTTTCTAATTAATATATCCTTAACCTTAAGACTTGTAAAACAAGACGTTAAAATTTACTATAGCAATTCAAATAAAATAGGTTATGAAGCTGTAGCCGTAAATTGGCATATGAAAGGGGAAAAAAGAATCTCCTCAATAACCTTTTCATGTAAGTCATCTTGAGTTGTAAATCAATTGATTCAAGTTTTCATGTGAGTTTATTTGTCCACAACCTTAATACTTGTGAAACAAGAAGTTGAAAGTTATTATAGCAATTCATGTAGAATAGGTCATGAAGCTTACTAAAATACTCCAAGACAATCATATTTGCCACAATAAATATGTTGCTACACGCCTACCATTGCCTTTCACTTTAAAATAATTTCTTTTATAATTAATTTTATTTTCAACTAATGTGGTTGGTGGTCAGTGAGGGTCAGCAACTTTCCTAATATTTGTAGAGATATGATAGCAAGTGCTAAAAAATGTGAGCCCTAAAAACTAATTTTGTAAGGGGATTCATTGTTTCTGTCAAAGGCCACTTGGTCCAACTGAAATGGAAGATCTTAAGTGCCAGTTATGTCAACTCTCCGAATTTCTACCTTACTTTGCTGATAATCTTAATCATATTTTGTTTTTGGTTCCTGTTGTCTACAGTGCAAGAAAAGTTTTTGTGCACTGTATGTGATTTTGACATGTATGTCTCGCCACTAGCTTTTTTCTGTTAACATATTACGTGAACCTTGTGAGAAATGGCTCAGCGTTCCATCTTCCAATTAACCTACTATTTTATTTTGCCAGAGAAAAAAAATTCTGTATTGTGTTCCTTGAGCTGGTTGCCTGTTGCATACCCATGTTGGTTAGTTCTCATTGTGTAAAGGAGTGGAATGGGCTGGTTTGGGGTCATGGTGCTTGTGTAAATTGCATTCTGCACAACTTTATTTTTTACAACCATAAATTGATGATTTTGAATTGGAACTTGCAGCTTCGTGAATACATTGATGACACTGAGGATTACATTAACATTCAGGTGAGTTAATCTTTTGGAATCATGTCAATCTAGACATTGATATTCTGAAACATGAATGCCCCTTTTGTTGTTACTGAAACTTGATCTTCTCTGCAGCTTGACAATCATCGAAATCAGTTGATTCAGGTGTGGAATCTCCCCTCTCTCCCCCTCTTCTGATACTCGAATATATACAATTATTTTATTTATACAAGCTTTAGTGTGTGGAGGGTGTTATAACTTTTCTTTGTATTTCACATTCTGCATTTAGAGTTACGTTCCAGATGATTCAAAGCCTCTTATTCACTAGATGGTTTGAGATGCTTCCTTTGTGTGTTCCCTTTGATGTTATGGTTATCGAACTCAGAAATTGATTGAGTGTGGTATGGGAAATTTTTCTCTTGAAGATAAATGGGCACAGTTAGGAAGTGTACAAAGTTAGAATGTGGACCTTGGGAGTTAGGACATGGAGGCACTAGAATTACACTTTTTGCTCGCTTTTCTATAAGGATCAAAACTCCCAAATATCCTTCTTTCTTATTGTGGTATGTCGCTTTGGTATTCAAAGAAGGACAAGCAATGAAGTGGTGAGTTTGGATAGAAAGGATTTGACCATGAGTGAATGTTTTAAGTATCTTGGGTCGATCATGCAGAAAAATGGTGACATTGATCAAGACGTGGCCCAAAGGATTAAGTCGGGGTGGCTTAAATGGAGAGCGGCCATGGGAGTGTTGTGTGACCGAAGCATCCCCTTACAATTGAAGGGAAAATTCTACAGGATTGCCATAAATCCAGTGTTGTTCTATGGTACAGAATGTTGGGGTTCTAAGAAAGAGCACATTAAAAAGATGGAGGTTACGGAAATGCGCATGTTAAGGTGGATGTGCGGGAACACTCTAAGAGATAGAATCAGGAATGAGGTTATTCACAAGAAAGTAGGTGTGACAGGCATTGCAGACAAACTAAGGGAAAATCGTCTGCGTTGGTTTGGGCATGTAAGACGGAGACCCGAGGGTGCACCGGTTCGAAGAGTGGAAGAGTGAGACCATGGAGGGGTTAAATGAGGGAGAGGGAGACAGAAAATGAGTTGGTTGGAAGGAGTTAGGAAGGATATGAAGTATATGGATTTGCATGAGGATGAGGCATTGGATCGTAAGGGATGGAGGAGGAAGATTTTTGTCGATAACTACACGGAATAATCAAATTGATTCATGTAGCTGACCCCACTTATGAGATTAAGGCTTTGATTGATCGATTGAGATCTGAAATTTTGTGGCTTTGTGGTGCTAGAGTAGTCTGACCAAGAGGTTACTTTGATATTGGAGAGAGACTGAGAGAGAAGGTAAGGCTCATATTTGTAGCTGACATGTCATGCTGTGTCTTCGCTCGTATGCTGACTAGGTAGCTCGTAGCTGAGCCTGACCCATAACCCTTTTGGGACTAAGGGTTTTTTGTTGTTGTTGTTGCTGCTGCTGCTGTAACATAGTGGGGTGACAAGACTACCTGTCAGTCTTTCTAGTCCGAGCTTCACAAACGCATCTTGCTCCTTCCCCCTTCCTGATGTTCCAACTGTTTTTGATGATACCTAATCCATTTGCAGCCATTGTTAAATCAAAATGCCAGTCAACTCCTATCATTGGCCTGTATGGTCAATTTTGCTTTGGAGAGAGTTTTATCAATAATGAGTTTTATACAAATTGAAGCACCATTTGTTTTACTAAATTACTTGATCGTTTTTTCCTTGTTTCTTAGGATCCTGCTTGTATTGGCTTTCCTCACTAATCTGCTAATTTCATACAGTATGTATCAGAGTGAACCTTTACCTGTATTTGACCCTAACCAATTGAAGCCATAAATTCTCCTCTTTCTTTGATGAGTTTTTTTTGCTTTTTTTTTTTTTTTTTTTTTTTTTTTTCCCTTCTCCCTATAAAGGATTCTCTTTCAAGATTTAGGTAGATGCAATAGTTTTAAGAGTACATGGTAGATGAGCAACCGAAATGAATAAAGGCTACCAAACTCAGATCCACTTAGTCAAAAGCTTTGGTTAAAAGTTTTATGAGTATGTTGGGGTGTATAGTAGCGCTCCAATGTTGATCCATGTCTTTGAGTGAATGATGCCAAAAAACATTTTTGCTTGTATTTGAGTCTCGTTAACAATTTGTGCTTAGTTTAATATTGCTAGCAAAAGGAATGGCTTCCTTTGCTTTGGTCATCTACATGTGGCTGTCTGGTTGATGTAATTATTGGTGCAAGAGATACAAGAATAATATATGTGACATAGGTCATGAAGTTGGTAGAGACCCAAGAGAATTTTATTACTCCCTCTGCTTTTAAGATGTACCCACCATCCATTTTGATGTGTTTTTATTTGGTGTACCAACTTTATTTAATACGAAGTATTTCACAAACACATTTCACTATCTTACGATTCTTACATCCACGTCCCAGTTTCACCTTTATCCACCTTTTTGTTACACCCGCCCACCTTTTTAATACATCTCTCTTACTTCTGCTTACACCCACTCAACTCTCCAAGAAGCAAGAGTCAACAATCAATGGGTTCATCAAAAGAAAACAGATCCAATCTTCTCTCCTTTTGCTTGTTACTTTTGATCTTATTGTTTAAAATTAAAGGCAATTCTTCTGTAAGAGAAGAGAAGATTTTATGTGGGGGCAACCTTGTCAAGCTTTGAGCAAGATGATGGGAAAGTTCCATAATCCAGACTTTAGCTCAAAGTCTGAAAATCTAGAGTTTATCTGAGGGGTGTAAATGAAAGTGCTTAGACTTTAGGCTAAAAGTGTCTAACTTGTATGGTATTGGAATTTTGTGTCAATTCCTTGATATTGCTTGGGACTCTGACTCAGGACTTTAGGAGTAATCAGTGTGACACCGTTTCTTAACTTCCAAATAATATTTTGTCAATCGGGAACCCAAAAGTTAGAGCAAGGAAGAACTGTGCTAGTATTCTTAACTTAATTTGCCTGTCAGTGAGAAAAATTGGGAACTAGATTGGGAATCCTGATTGCGGGTTTCACATGCAATTCAACAATTTCTTACAATATTTTTTTAATCTTCTAAACTTTTTTCAATAATTATGTCATATAATGGTTTGAGATTACTTAGGTTGTCTATAATTTTGATACATGTGATTTGTTTCTTTGTGAATACTTATCATGCAGCTGGAGCTTTTTCTGAGTTCAGGAACTGTTTGCCTATCAATCTACTCTTTGGTCGCTGCAATTTTTGGCATGAATATACCTTATACTTGGATGGATAATCACGATTACATCTTTAAATGGGTACACATAACATTTTAGCCTTTAAGTTCAGCTAGTAAATGTTGCCGCATTCAATTGTACTTAAAGGTCTTTGCATTTGCAGGTTATTATCCTTTCTGGTCTTTTTAGCGCTGTACTCTTTGTAGTTATTGTCACATATGCTCGTTTTAAAGGGCTTGTTGGATCATGAGCTTGTGGGATCATAAGCTCTGTAAATCATCATCTTTACACGGAAAAACAAGACCAATCTCTACCAGGAACTAATTCTGTGTAATCTCATATACAAACATACATATTCATCAATTGCATACATGAATCAGTGCTAGCCCTGATGCAACCGCATCAAGCCCTTTTCATGTTTCTACTGATATTGAAATGTAATCAACACAATGCAATTCTTGGTAACCTTAGCAGACTTTGCTGAGGCTTTTTTTTTGTTTTTATACCAAGTTTTCTCTTGTATAATTACTGAACCTCAGAATTAGGTATTTCTTTGTCAGTAACAGCTCTTATTAACTAATTTAAACATCAATTGAATCACTCTTTTTGCTATTGAGAGCTCTTACTGAATTCTGATTTCTTAAGATATAATTGTCATACTTATCTGTATATACGGCGGTCTTTTTAAGCTGTATTATCTGTGTAGATGAGCTGCCATTGCAGCCTCCCTTAATCAATTTGTTGCAGATTAGCACTTGTATCTGCTGTAATGCTATACGTATGCCCTCTTTGGCTCTTTCTATAGTAGTTTTAAGAATTTTATCTACGAGTCTTACCAGTTGCCACAAGAAATAAAAAATGACCTATCACAGCCTTCCCCCACCACAAATTTTTAAGGGGTGGAAACAAAGAAAGAGTTGAAACCCCTAAAATAGTTATACCAGTACATTGTGCAGTGCTACACCATACGACATCACGTCTAGCAAGTTAAGAATACCAAAAGACCGGGACGGCAATGGTAATACCAGCAAAGATATTGCCAGTGTAAACAGGCGTGGTCAGAGTCATGGTGTTTGGAGGTGCCGAAACACATGCTGTTAATCTTTATGCTCTTGTCCTTGTTTTTAAAATTCGTTTTCATCTTTTTTCCAGATAATATTAGAGGTTGATATTGAAGATGCCAAGAAATGAGGTAGTCCTTGTAACCTTAGCATCAAATTGAAACACTTAAGAAATTTTTTTAGAAATAGTAAATCAAATGTCAATATACAAAAGACCTGTGAACAAAGTATAGCGGTATAAACTTGTTTAGGGGCCGTTTGGTTCGCACAGGGGAATCGGAATGGAATGCAGAAAAGGAATGGAAGAGAATGGAATGAAACCCTTTGAATTTAGGGTGTTGTTTGGTGAGAATGCAGGAGAATGGAATGAAACCACCATAGAACAACCACAGCACAACCATTGCACCCCTTCCTTCATTAGTTTCCACCTTCTCCAGCTACCGCACCGCCCGACTTACACCACACCGGAACCAACCACCACTCCTCCGACCTTCGCTGCCCCTCCCCCGACTAGGTGAGGTCTGTCGAACAACAATCCACAACGGAACCCTTCTCGTCCTCGACCTTAGCAATCCCGACCGAAACCCGACCAACACGCAACTATTGAACTTCCCCAGCAACATCGATGATTTATGCGGAATTCCGAAGGTTGTTCGCTGCCCCTCCTCCAACCAGGTGAGGTGTGGCCGGTTGTTCCGGTGGAGGGGAGGGGTTTTCAGGGTTACACGAGGGTCGGGGGAAGGTTTTCCGGGTGGGAGGAGGGGCGGTGAAGGGCGGCGAGGATCTGGGGAAGGTCGGCAAACATCCGGCAAGGTGAAGCAAGTTCCGGCGAGCAACAACAAGTTTCGGTGAGCAGCAACAAGCTGATGGGGTATGGTGGTGGTTGGGGAATGGAATGGGAAAGGTAGGGGGTGGTGGGGAATGAATCTAGAAGAATTTTGGGTTAACCCAAAAATAAAATGGGGGAATGGGAATGACAAAATTGTGAAAACAAACACTAACAAAGGGAATCATTCCCATTCCCTTTCCCCATTCCAGCGAACCAAACGGCCCCTTAAAAGAAATGACTTAGTCACACTTGATTTCACATAGTTTCCTTTGCTCCATAATATACCACAAAAACTAATAATTCCTCTGTTTCTTAAATATTGCAACATGGAAGAATGTACAAGATTTCGGTAAGTGTAAAAAAGGAGAGTGAAGAAAAATTACAAACTTATTCTTATTATTGCAATACTAATTGACAAATATTTAAAAGTAAAAAAATATTAAGTATTTGTAGTATGAAAGAAAATAAGTATTCCTTAAATGAGTATGTTGCAATATTTGTGAGTAAACATTGATACATTAAACATATCAAACATGATGGATAGAATCATCCATGAACCGTATTTTATTTTTTATTTTTTTAGAAAAACACATCATGCACTCAACTTCCATTTTTTTAAGGCAAATGTATAATTCGATGTTACTATTCTGTATTTCAATCATTATATAAACGTATGATGTGAAATTGAGACAGCAACACAATTGGGATCAAGAATGATCCAACAAATATACTTAGTATGCCATTCACTCTAGTCATTATAATAACCAAGACTGAGTTTAATTTTAGCCAAAATTCATGTAACTCTCAAAATCTTTACTATACTTCTGTCAAAAAGTTCGGTTTCTGAAACACATAGTAGCAAAATTTAGATTTATGCTAAAAAACGTTTACTGGTTCTTTTACTTGTTCTTCCAACGGTATTATACAAAGTTTTGCACGTATTATTCCATAATGTACGGAGTAAAGAACTTTTCCAAATTAAGGAGTCAAGAAAATCATGTCAATATATACATTGCCCTTCTTTGGGAAAGGTGGGGATAAGTGATGAATTGTCTTCCCAACATAATATGTTGTGGATCAGCTATGTTAGCAGTAGTTATATCATGCGTCGCAAGTGTATGTAGCAATCGGATGATAGATGGTAGAAGAGCAAAAGAAGACTGCTTGAAAGCAGCTGCAAGGGCAATTGCTAGAGCTGCAGGATATAATAACATCAAGCTCAGAGTTTACAGTGATCCAAACTTTGGATGCGAGGTATGGGATAGCAGTGAGAGTGATTCTGACGACGATGCTGAGTGCAGTATCAGTGTAGTCCATGAGGATAGGCCAAGCACTAGCTCTGCTGCTGAACAAAGAAGTGTTATAAGCAAATAAGGCGAATTTGGGTATGTTTATAGCCGGACATGGTGAGCCATGGCTGACTTCTTCCTGCATTATCTATCCCCCTTGAATTTATGTACATACTTTGGTCTTTTCGTACTGTATCCGACAAAATATATCTTTGTACTCTTACATATTTGTAATTGATAAAGTTGTCTACATATGGATGTCAACATTTGGATTTATTATGAGGTTTAGTTCATTATTCTTGGTGCATGTTTGGTTGACACATAAATGCATATGAAGTTGATTTTCTAGGAAGTGGATTCATGTGCCGTTTTGTTTGGTTGGCGATCCCATAGAATTAGAACTTCCAAGAAAGCTTTAAATGCAATAAAATGGAGGAATTTACTTACCTAGTCACCTAGGTAAGTGAAGCTTTCATGAAATAATGTAAATTCAATCATACAACCAATCAAGTCACACCATTTCCTAAAAATTGAATTTTATGGGCATTGAAGTATTCCTAGGAACAGATACTTCCTCTAACAAAACAAGCACCAAGTTTTTATTGTTTTGCCCTTGTTGACAAACTATATCCATGTCAAAAAAAAAAAAGGAAAAAAAAAAAAAAAAGAAATGAAATTAATTGGCAAGTTGTGTGACCGAAAATTGGTGGCAAATTCTTGTATCACTAGATCTCCTCCGATGGAGCAACATCACGTAGAGCTTAGAATACTCTCATACATGTCCGTAATATCTATTATAAGTTAGGTAAACAGTAAAATCCAAGACTATTTTTTTTTTGCTCATTTAAGATGACTTCTACATGGTCTCCTTGTTGCATTATACTTTGAAAATGGATTGTGAAGATGAGGTGGAGAAGTGGTTTAGATAATCTTCCTTATTTTATAAGGGTGTATAGACATTTCTAAAAGCATATAGAAATTAGAAACGAAGAAATCAATTTATTAATAGCATATCTTCAGAAAAATGCAAATCATCAAAACACCTATTAAAGAGAGATTAGACTTTATTTTAATTATTTATTGTTGATCCTTATCTTAGCTAGATCAGAACTAGTCCAAAGCCATTTCAGATAATTATTACACAAAGCAACGTAATAAGTCAAATTAATAATTTCCCATCATATTCATGAACTAGTTTAGCTTAAACTAATTCAAACCGCCTTTTCCATATTATTATAACAAAGATTATTCCTAAAAACTTGCAATAAAATTATTCTAAGACTTTAAACTTGCTGAAGTTTCATTGCTAACTTCTGCATTTTATCATACAGTACCAAAGTTTTTTTTTTTTTTTATCAAGAAAAGGAAGATGAACTGCCTAATAGATCTTATTGGCTGCGGAGCAGCAATCTTTGGCTTAATGTTTCTATGTAATGACTGCGTCTATGGCAAGAAAAAGAAGAAAGATAAAAAAGAAAAGAGCTACAAAACTCTTGAATGGAACATTGCTGCTGCTGATGATGATTATAATGCACGGCGTAGTTTTGCTCTTGTCAACGAAGGCATTTGGATCCCTAAGCGACGAAACAGCTATACGCAGGACATAGAAGGTACAGGACGCTATAAACACCTCCCGCACTCATGGTAATCAGCGTACAAAGATTCAATCCATTGCCTGAACGCGAGCCTGAGAGTCTTCTTCGAAACTGGTATGAAATAATATCACAGGTTGGGTTTGATTTGGTTTGATGCATGTTCAAAGATACTGTGATCTTTTAGTCTATGTTACAAGCTTACAATCTGTTATTAGAAGTCAAATCCTCAGTTTTACAATTTTGTACCATCATACTTGTATATATATTTGGTTCAACCATTGTACTTTGTACATGTATATATATAGTGTGAATTTGTGATATATACTTTCTTTGTTCTTTAGTACTTGTAAATGTTGCAATACATTGTAGATTCTTTTTAATTAGATTTGATTTAATGTTATTTTAAAATACATACTTGCCTTTAAATAATTTAAAATATAGATAATTGAAGATAAGACTGATAAAATTAAGTATGCGTGCAAGACACTTTTAAGGTGATCAAAATGAGTGACATGGCACCACAAACACTGCAAAATCTCCTTTAAAAAAACAACCCCTTTAAAAGATTGTCTTTCATTTGAAAGAAAATCATTAAAAGGATTGTTTGTAAAAATATACACGTAATTTGAGAAAATCACTTAAATGATCACCTTAGAATTTTTAGTGCATATGTAGCAAATTTAGCAAATTTTCAGAAAGGCTAATATGTTTTTTTTTTTTTTTTTTTTTTTTTTTTTTTTTTTTTTTTTTTTTTTGAATGATCAGAAAGGCTAATATAGTACGCTAGCTTGGGGTTGAATTTTTTTTTTTTGCTTTTTTTTTTTTTTTTTTTTTTT